AGATAACTCTATTATAACTCTATTATATTATTCTCAAACAAATTTATTTCAAAAGATTATTGTTCACAATAACATTGACTTCAATAGACTGATATTGTAAAGGAGATAACTTTTTTTATAACTCGATTATTTTATTCTCGACAACATAAATACAAACGACTGATGTTGTAGGGAGATAACTCTATTATAATATTCTCGAAAACATTGACTTCGATAGTCTCATATTGTAAGGGAGATAACTCTATTATTATCATTTTCAACAACAATGACTTCAATAGACTGATATTGAAAAGGAGATAACTCTATTATATTATTTTAGACAACATTGACTTTAGTATACTGACTCACTCCACTAAAACATTTTATGCAAATGATTGTATAGGAATGTAGTCCAGGCTATTTTTAGAAATCTTCTTTCTCTCTCCCTTTTGGGGTCTTTGCCTGCCTATTTTTGGGTAAAATTTGGTCTAGATTTGGAATTTGATGTCTGAAATTGCATTATCTTTCAGATTTGGTGAGATGATGAGAGTCTTAAAGGCGGAAGGCTAATTCTAAAAATAGTCGTTTTGTGAAGTGCCAAACTCTAGCGGATGAGTATAACCGGTAGTAGTCTAGCAAAAAAATTTTCATGGTCATCATATAATGAATTTTTTAGGAGACATTGAGAATTGGTCAGGCTTTCATTCGACATATTGGAAAGCTTTCAACGAGATTTCTGGAAAAAGTTATAGAAGGTTGAATTTCGTGTTTTAACATGGGAAGAGATGGCAAATGAATTAGTGGAGTGAATCATACTGATATTGTAAGGGAGACAACTCAATTATATTATTCTCGACAACAATAACTTTAGTAGACTGATATTGTAAGGGAGATAACTCTATTATGTAATTCTTAACAATGTAATTACCACAAATAGATATTGTAAGGGAGATAACTCTATTGTATTATTCTCAACAACATTGATTTCAAAAGACTAATATTGTAAGAGAGATAACTCTAATATATTGTTCTCAACAACATTGATTTAAAAAGATTAATATTGTAAGAGAGATAACTCTAATATATTCTTCATAACAATATTGAATTTAAATGAAAACAATTGTAATACAAAAAACTTATATTGTAAGGAAGATAACTCTAATATATTGATCTCGACGACATAAATACAAAAAAACTGCTATTGTAAGGGGATAACTCTTTTTTTTTGTTCTCGACACTATAAATACAAAAGACTGATATTGTAAGGAAGATAACTCTATTATATTGATCTCGACAACATAAATACAAAAAGGTGCTATTGTAAGGGAGATAGCTCTTTTTTTTGTTCTCAACACTATAAATACAAAAAACTGATATGTTGCTGAAGATAACTTTATTATATTCCTATCAACGACATTGACTTCAATAGACTGATATTGTAAGGGACTGGTAAGTGCCTATGTGAGTAAGTGCTTATGTTGGTAAGTGCTTATATGGGTAATTGCTTATGTGGGTAAGTTCTTATGTGGGCAAGTGCTTATGTGTGTAAGTGCTTATGTGGGTAAGTGCTTATATATGTAAGTGCTTATATGTAAGTGCTTATGTGGGTAATTAGTTAGGTAAGTGGTTGTGTATGCAAGTGCTTATGTATGCAAGTGCTTATGTGAGTAAGTGCTTAGGTAAGTGGTTATGTGGGTAACTGCTTAGGAAGTGCTTATGTATGTAAGTGCTTGTATATGTAAGTGATTATATGTGTAAGTGCTTATATATGTTATTGGTTATTTGGGTAAGTGCTTATGTATGTGAGTGCGTATGTATGCAAGTGCTTATGTGGGTAAGTACTTGTTTGGGTAAGTGCTTATGTGAGTAAGTGCTTAGGTAAGTGCTTATGTATTCAAGTAATATGTGAGTAAGTGCTTATGTATGTAAGTTATTATGTAGGTAAGTGTTTAGGTAAGTGCTTATGTAGGTAAGTGCTTAGGTAAGTGCTTACGTATGCAATTGCTTTTGTGGGTAAGTGTTTATGTAGGTAAGAGCTTGTGTGGGTAAGTGCTTATGTAGGTAAGTGCTTGTGTGGGTAAGTGTTTGTGAGGATAAGTGCTTTGTGAGTAAGTGCTTATGTGGGTAAGTGCTAATGTATGTAATTGCTTATGTGGTTAACTGCTTAGGTAAGTGTTTATGTATGTAAGTGCTTATGCATTCAAGTGCTTATGTGGGTGACTGCTTATGTATGCAAGTGCTTATATATGCAAGTGCTTATGTGGGTGACTGATTAGGTAACTGCTTATTTATGTAAGTGCTTATGTATATAGTACATAGGTAACTACTCATGTGGGTAACTGCTTAAGTAAGTGTTTATGTGGGTGACTGCTTAGGTAAGTGCTTATGTATGTAAGTGCTTATGTATGTAAGTGCTCATGTATATAAGTACTTAGGTAACTACTTATGTGGGTAACTGCTTAGGTAAGTGCTTATTTGGGTGACTGCTTAAGTAAGTGCATATGTATGTAAGTGCTTATGTGGGTAAGTGCTTATGTATGTAAGTGCTTACGTGGGTAAGTGGTTAGGTAAGTGCATATGTAAGTAAGTATGTATGTGAGTAAGTATATATGTATGTAAGTGCTTAGGTAAGTGTTTATGTGGGTAACTGCTTAGGTAGGTGCTTATATATGTAAATGCTTATGTGGGTAAGTGCTTGTGTGAGTAAGTGATTATGTAAGTGCTTATGTGGATAAGTGGTTATGTATGCAAGTGCTATTGTGAGTAACTTAGGCAAGTGCTTATGTGGGTAACTGCTTAGGTAAGTGATTATATATGCAAGTGCTTATGTATGTAATTGCTTATGTGGGTAAGTGCTTATGTATGTAATTGCTTATTTGGGTCAGTGCTTAGGAAGTGCTTATGTATGTAGGTGCTTATATATGTAAGTGATTAGGTATGTGGGTAAGTGGTTATGTATACAAGTGGTTATGTATGTAAATGCTTATGAGGGTAAGTGGTTATGTGGATAAGTGCTCATGTGAGTAAATGCTTATGTATTAAAGTATTAAGGTATGTAAGTGCTTACGTAT